AAGAGAAACAGAACATCATCTAATGCCCTTGTGTGTGTGGCTGTATCTCATGCATCTCTGTGGCAGTGATCAGGATGTAAATGTTAGCAGTTGCCACGCAGTTAGAGGATATACAAGTATGCAGGACTAGCTCTCGTGGATTGTATCAGATGTTTCACAGAGGAACATTAAATGCCAGGTTCTTTAGAGCTGGGCTTGCACATACTGGATTTAGTTATTTTAGTTCACTGTTGCTCTTCTGGGTTGCTTTAATAGTAACTTGGAGTGGATATCAGTGCAAAATACCAGTTAATTTCCAGTACGTCTCCTTACTTAGTCTTCTTTCTTAATATCCACCGGGGATTTGAATCTGTGCATAATATATTCCAGAGTTTGTATCTTTGTGGTGTTATTATAATAAAGGATTAAAATGGATCCCAGAGTATGCATATTTTAATGCTTGAGTCATATGTCATACATACTGTTCTGAGGCAGGCAGATGAACTTTGGTATTGGTAGTCCTCCAGGTCAGGGTACTCACAGCTGAATTAGTGGTATGCTCAGCAGCAGCTGTTATCCAAATTAAATATGTCAGATGTACAAATGTAGAGAGAAGTAAAACCTAATATAGTTGTTTGGAAGTCTGTTTGTTGTCAGAACACAGTACTCAAGTCATAGTTTCATGCAGAGTGAAGAATTGCTCTGGGGAAAAATAGGGGATGGATAAGGGCTGTTGCCACATGGGTGCCTAATTAATCAGCCCACATAGTTCATTCAGATTTTAGTACTTTAAAACGCATAAATACATGAATAGAAAGGAAATGTTAAGACAGCTAAACTTCTGAAGTTGGACTTTGAAAGATACATGGTTACTGCCATTTTAAGATCCATTGATCTCATAATGATGTCTTCTAATGATTTCAAAATAAGAGCCTTTGGGAAGGGGTATAGTGTCCAGTCTACAACCGTTTCAATGTATAGGATATGAACTGTGATTCCTGGGTGAAAAAAGAGCTGTTAGATACTTTTTTCTGATCCACCCAGTCACCTCACGTCTTGTCTACCATGCATAACATGGCAACAGTGAATGTTGTGTTTCGGTCTAGCCTTGCTCCATGTGGCTAGTGACCTTTCCTTAGGTTTAAAGTCCTGATAAAAAAAGGAGTTGAATTTCAACCTCTTCCTGGTCAAATGCCTTAAAGAACAGATATATAAAGAGGGATTATCTGCACCGGTATTTACAGCAGTTCTGCCGAAAAGGGTCCCAGCTTTGGACTCCAAGTTGACAGAAGGATAACTGAAATGTTCCAGTGTTATCCACATAGTTTTCAGCACAAATACAAAATAGCACCTTACAAGGTATTGTGAAGAAATGGAACTGTATCGCAGCCAAACCCACTACAGTATGTTCTAAAAATTGGAGTGATCACACAGAACATTTCATGCATTTTAAGCATTTGTCAAAGTTGTGTGTGCTGAATAACTGTTCATATTAATCTTGTTGCCTGTACTCTTATATTCCACCTAACAAATCACTCAAGAAAAAAAAAAGATATGGTGCACATAGTCTTGATTGCATTTCCAACAAATTCTGCCTTATCTCTACAGTCTCAGGCTATGGAGGCTTTAGTATTTTGCATTAAATGGAATAATAAACTACAATTCTTGTGCAAAACCTGAGCATGAGATTTTAGAATTTAGGGTGTTTAAAGTAATTTTGAAGATTGCATTATTTTTAATTTCCACCAAGTGGAAGAATGAAAGATTCAGACAGGAAATCATGCTGATCATTCACCTTGAGAGAGATAAGGAAATAATAAAATATATGCAGTATACGGGGGAGAAAGGATGAGTTTTGTCATATCATTATGTTCTACCTTGCAATAATATTACATGGAAATAATATACTTCAGAAGATTAATGTATACATTATTATTTTAATGGGTGGGATTTTGTTTTATATTGCCACAAAATTTCAGCTTTCCAGCAATGTGAAACATTGTCACCTATTGTTCAAAATAACTAGTAGGTTATTTAGCATACAAAGAATACGGTTTGTGCCTTTCGACTTGTTGGCAGAGAACTTTGATGACCTGTGAGTGACATGTTACTTAACCTAAGTGTGTGGTATGATAAAGACACTTTTTCCCATGGCAAAGTATTCCAGTTTTTTCTTTCACCTTCTCAATATATTTCAAATAAACCCAAACTATAAAAGCCAAAACCAATCAAGAGCTTTGCACCAATGTTACAGTTTTGTAACACACACACACACGCACACACACATACACAAAACCCTGATTAAATTAGTTTTTAAAAGTAATTATGAAGCATTTTCTTGTGTTTCTGTTAATAATGCTATTTTCTTTATTCTCGAAACTCTGTAAAGCAAGTATGTCAGAGTATCTTCATTAGTAATGCTCTGTTGGTTAGCCTGGAGCGGGTTTTGTCCAAGCAGCACAACTCAGTCAATACCTTTCTTGTCTGAGGAAGATGAGGGAGTCTCGGTGGCAAGCCAGCCTCTGCATGCACTTAGAAATGTTTCAGTATTTTTCCTATGTTTAGTTGAATTCTGTGCTTATGATACTGAATAGAACAAGAGCATTTGCTGTTGTTGAATCCTGGTTGTTGCCTGTGTATTTAGGGTTCCTACTGTACTTGTGAATTGCCAAAAAGAAGATAATCTGAAAAGACTGAAGGAAATACATCTGTGTCTAACTTTAAGGAGGAGGCATACATCAGCTGAAGATGTCTGTCAGATCTCCTAAAACTGAAAGGTTCTTTCAAATTTCAGGTTAACTGTCTCTGAGCAACAAACTGTTAGTCCCCTGAATAATTTGATTATAAGCTTGTCAATGGATTTTCAGTGCCAGTTTTGCTAGGTTGGCTTTGTGAGCAGAAACCTTGGGGTCTTGCTCCTGTGTGTCCACTGTGCTTCTGCTATGGCTGTACATGGCTGGGTGCCTCTTGAAAAACAGTGCAAAATAACCTCAGCATGCTATGAAGAACTGAGGCTGATAGAGTTTTGCCTTCATAATGTGAATCCCCAAATGTGGCATTTCACATACAGCCTTTTGCGGCAGCTCACATGGGCAGGTCTGGGAAAAAAATGCTGTTTCCCTGAACCTCAGCAAAGATTCTTGAGATGCTCTTCGCAGGCACTTGTCACAGTTAAATAGTGAGGGAAAAGTTCTGGTTTACCCCTAAAATATAGCTGCACCTTCTTTATGAAAAAAATAATATTTTCTCCAGTTTTGCCATCTTTAATTTTTCTACATAGAAATTCTTCCACATTCCTACTTGCAGGAAATTTGCTACTGTGATAGTTAATCTGTGAGGTGATATTCAATATGAATTAGCTTATCATTCTTCTTTATTTTAAGTCATGATAATTAAAATATTTTAATTGAAATTTTGAGCATATGTATTATAAAACGGTGGTGAGGCAGTGGAATAGGTTGCCCAAGGAGGTTGTGAATGCTCCATCCCTGGCAGTGTTCAAGGCCAGGTTGGACGAGGCCTTGGGTGATATGGTTTAGAGAGAGGTGTCCCTGCCCATGGCAGGGGGGTTGGAACTTGATGATCTTAAGGTCCTTTCCAACCCTAACTATTCTATGATTCTATGAATATCTAATATTTTTTTCAAAATAAAGCTATTACATAAGCTAAAAGGATCAGAGGTCAAAAACGTCAGTTTTAGTGATGATACTCAGGTAGCGTAGTTGTCTCTTGCAGTCATTTGCATGTAATAGATTGATTTTTTTCTATGTATGGTAAAGATGAATGAATGTCAGTAATAACAGCCAATGAGGCTTGCTTATAAGAGCTCTTTCATAAGGCACTAAAGTGAAGTGTAGGAGGAGGTTGAACATTAGTAAAAAGCTATGAGGTTTTTTATTGCCTCAAAAAAAAAATCTCAGGTGAAAGCTGTGCATCTTTTCAATTTGGTATGATGAAGAACACAAGCCAATATGATGCTGTTGGTGAATGCCCATTATGTTGGAACTATAATTATGTTATATAACTGAAAGGTTGTTTTATACAGAAGACTGAGGATATTGGTTAAGATCCATACATCCTAGTACTTTTTAATTGAAATTAATTAATTTAATACAAAGCCTTCTGCGTTGTGGGTAGCCCATTTTATGGGTAGTGATATTTGGTTTAGGTAGTTTTCTGTGTTGCTTGTTAAACGTTTATTGAGATGGTGTACAATATTCCATTTAGGATTTTCTAAAATTTATAGTAAGAACTGTTGGATCTGTTCAGAAATTGGGTGAATCAGACTAAATCAGAGTTTAATGGCTGTTTATAGAAGGTGGAGCCTCCAGGGTAATACTGAAGGTGAACAGGTGTTCAAGAACAACTCTATTTGATTTTCAATTAGAGTCTAGAAGTATAAGTATATAACCAGAAATGGAATCCAGAGCTTGCTCTGTTTCATAACACTTGACTGTTCAGAATTACTTTTTTGTTATTAATATACACCAGCAAAGACATTGATACCTTCTACATCAAGTGCTAGAATTAGAATCAGTCATGTTGAAATGGAATTAATTTTTGGCTTCTGCAGCGCAGTCTCACTGATCTGTTGGGTTTGTTGTGCCTGTATGAAATCTTTCACTCTTGAGCAGAATAGTTGATAAAGCCAATTGTTTTTGTTGTTATTTAAAACTTCCATGAGCACACATTTGCACTAACAGACCATTTCTGAACCAGAAGGTCCCTCATTTTGCTTTTCTTGGCAAAGTCGTCCAGAAAGATATTTCTGATAGATGTAACAACTCTTTAATTATTTTTTTCCTTAAATCGTACTGGAGCCAGCATCCTTAATAGATAGAAGTTTGCTGTGAAATTGATACGCTTTTAACTCCTTTTATTATTATTTTTTAACAGTTACTCAGTTCTTAGAGGTCTGCACAATACAGTCCAATTGAATCATTTGTATTTTAGTGCATAGAATTTTGTCATACTTAACTTGTGCTACTTACATTTTATTTTTTTTTTTCTTTTCTCTGTAGGTATATTCGAATTGTTGGGACCCACAACACAGTGAACAAAGTTTTCCACATTGTGGCATTTGAATGCATGTTCACAAACAAAACCTTTACTCTTGAGAAAGGTCTGATAGGTAAGAGATAAAAGTGTTCTCCTTTTACATGAACTGTTGCAAATCCTTGCCTTTTAAGACTGGTCATCACTGTACTCTTATTCTCCTGCTGTTCCCACACAGAAATCTCATGAGTTAAATGATGCTGTAAGCATAGAACTGGTTGGCTAGTTCTTGTGACTTCTTTGAAATTCCAGTTCTGTGGATTAATTATTGAAGCTGCAGGAATGCTAAAGTTCAAATTAAATCAACTACTGCTGACAAGGTCACTGGTAATTGAGACACTGTGCTGCTAATCCAGTTTCTCTTTGCATGTCATTGCTCTTGCCTGCCACTAGGTTAGCCTGAGTTCTGTAATGAGGAGGGAGAACCAGAGCTATTTATTACAGTGAAGATGAATTTAGGTATTTAGAGACTCCTATACAGCCTAGTTTAAGCTGCTGAAAGTAAACTCTCAGGTGTTGATTTTCCCCCAAAGAGTCATAGACACACTTAACCATGGCAGAACGTTACATTGGCTGCCCGTGTTTTCAGAGCGCCACGTTGATGGAGCTTTCTTACCTCTGGAGATCTGAACAGTTCATGTAATATTGTTTAAGTACCACTACATAGTGCTGTATTACTTAAGGTAGAAATCCCCAACAGACCAACAATCCTGAATGATAAACTATGTCAAAGTAAGGTTTAATAACTTCTTTTTAGTAGTCTAGACAAGGTGATTTCTGTACATTCTTCCATACAAACTCATGCAACTGAGATACTAAAATTCACTGGGGAGAGTTTTGTGCCCCTTTCAGTAGTTGACTAGTTGAGGGTTTACCACAGTTTCCAGCGTGAAATTGAAAATTTCAGCAAAATTCTAAGTTCATGCTGGTTTTAAACATATATTTAGATTTTAATTTTACACATATAATAGCTGGAAAAGAAAACAGTTTTCAAAAAAGAATGAAAGAGTAGATACTAGTAAGACAGATTTTTTTTCTTTTTTTTTTTTTCCCCCTGATAAAACTGTAATACTTAGCTGTGAAAAACTGAGGAACAACTTCTCCAGCCCATGCCCCCTGTGTTATACAAAGGCATCGTATGGTTACAGCTGCTGTCATGAGGTTTGTTGTGTAATTTAATGATTTTTTTTTTTTTTAAGGACTGAATAAGTAGCCTGGCAAATCACACTTGACCAATTTTTATGTTATATAGTCCCAAAATATGAAGCTGTACCATAATGCAAATAGAAAGTTTTCCTTTTCTTTTAGGGAGCTTGCTAGTATTGCAGTTGCTATTGACAAGAAAATAGAATAAGCATTAAGGAAGAGCTGTGTTTAAAGAAAACATCTACCTTAGTAAGCTATCTAGTGCAGAAACAAAATATTCAAGTTTATTAAAACCTTTGAGCTAAATTTCATATTTATCAATGCCAGCTATGAATTTTTAAAAACTTTGTACAAAATCAGAATTCCTGTGAGCAAAGAAGTGGTGCATAGATCTGTATGTATTTGGTTTAAGATTATCAGTCTTACTTACCAAATACTTAATTTAGGGCACAAGTAATATATTTGCTTGGTTGTTTTGGTTTTCTTTTGTTTGGTCATAACAGTAGGCAAAGGTAGTGAATCTGTGTATGTTCATGAAGTGTACTTGTACCATAATTGGCTTGTGTCTCATATACTGAATGTTATTTTGTGGCTTAGTGAGCATTTTGTTGAGGCAAACTGTTTGATCTGTTTCAGCATTTCATGCGTTTTAAAGATAATCTCGGGATGGACACTTTGTATGGCTTAATTAAAATTCCTGCATTTATGATTTTTGGGTTTTTTTGGAAGTTACAGAATCATGCAGGGAAGTAGGGTTTGGACTACACAATAGTATGTATCCATTGTTGTTCATGGTGATCAGTGGAATTACACTGTCATTCAATATGGATCAATCAAGCTGTTGTATCTGTGAGTCATTTGAAGTGATCTATAGTAAGCAAAGTGAGGCCTGTAGGGCTGTACAGCTTTTTATATTGAAGGGATGGTAGCGAATGCAACTAATGGGAAATTAAAAGAGAATTCAGTGAGTAGTTAATTGGAAGAGGGGTGTGGACCAACTTCAAATAGTAAGTAAAGCAGCAACAGCTGGATATATGTGTATGGCACTGCAGAATTTATGATGAGAAAGGGGCAAATTGAAAGATCTGGGGCTAGTTGAGGGCAGTCCAGTTTGAAATGGTGCAGGGGCACAAGGGATGTTCCACCAGAATTTATGGCCAACAGTATTGCCTATTCAGAAATATTCTCAGCAGCTCTGATAAAAGCAAGACCTTACATCCATGTAGTGCTTTGTTTTAAATAGCTGTGATTGTTACTGTAAGATAGCATGTTGTCTGGCTCCCTTGAAAAAGCAGGCTGTCCTAGTACCACTTCTGGAAAAAAATCTTTACAACTATCAGTGGGGTAGTTGGCACAGATCTATTTTGTTGCTCTAATGAGGATTTGCAATGTTTGTTTCTATTTCTGCACTGACCAGATAGGGTAAAGTGAACTGAAAGCACTTAGGAAAGCTCCACAAGATACATCAAAATGCAGTAATCAAAGTAGGTTCTTTTTAAGCTTAACTGTGTGAGAAGCTTTCATCCTCAACTCTTGAAAAGCAGTATTAGGTAAAACTATTAGTTCAGTCTTCGTCCTGGATGGTATCACATGTTGTATTAGATTAGGTTAGAAGAAACACGGCTGCTGTATCTATAACCTGCTTTACTAAGAAAATGAAATGTTGGTAAGCCCTTGAAGGTCATATGGCCCTTTCAGAAGGACTTCGTGACCCCTAGTTCTGGCAAAGCAACACTGAAGACAACATGCAAAGAGTTTGTAATTTCAAACCTCATTCCGAAGAAATAAGGCCACAGGGATGTTTAGGGATCTTACGTGGAGATTTAAGGATAGTTAGTTATTTAATTTTTGTGAAACCTTTTCAACTTGATCAGAAAGCTGTATATACAAAGACGGTAATTTATCAGATATATTACTACTGATACATACTATCTATGTAATGGCTGTCGCTGTAAAGTGAAGATTAGAAGGCCGGTAAACAAATAATAAAAATGAAGTACAGTTTCCTGATAACAGCAATTTTATGTTGCTGTGGTTTTGCGTATAAGGTTTTCATGACAAGTGTTGACTTGACGTATTACATTTAAAGGTTAGTATGGAAGATGATTTATGCAGTTACTTTATACAACACTACATGCACTACTGACTTGACCCATTGGTAGCTGAGAAGCAGTTTTGAAGTAAATATAGCAGGAAGTGCTCTTTCTAGCACTGTCTGGTGTTCTAGTATTGGTTTACCCTTGGTTGTCTTGTAAAATTAAGTGACAGAAATTAATTCAGTCCCATGAAATTATTCCCTAACACAAGCGTTGGGGTTGAGATGTCATTTTCCTTTCAGCATAGTATTATCTGTAATTGTGTAAGTATGTGGACTGATAACTTACTAGTTTCATGAGATTTATATAACCATTATATTTTCCAGAGATGTAAATATTTTTTAAATCTGAAAAGCATAGTATTTGCTTTTAGTAAACTTCCACTTCTGAAATTTTGAATGGCCTTTAGTCATTAGTATTTAATCTAGAATCCAAAACAAATGAAGATTTTTACAAGCTAGAGACTTACTCTTTTGGAAGCTGAAGCAGTACCCGGCATGATGTGCTGTTGTGTAAAAGAATCTAATCTACCCAGTGACAAGAAGCTACAGCAGTGGGTCTGGGGCTGCTTCTGTGTAATACCACTTTTGGCTTGGGGAGGGGTTTTGCGGGAGGGAGGGGGCTTGTGATTTTGTTTGGTTTGGTTTTGGGGGGGGGGGGTGTTCACCTAAATATAGGAGCTAATTCTTGTTTTTCTGCCTCAAAGGGAAAGAAAATTATAGCCTTGCTTAGTCCTTTAATCAGTACTTGGTGCTGTGGAGCAGTCAAGGACTATGCATGCGTGTCACTTGACCAGCCTACCATCCTGTTTCGAGCCTGGTTAAGGTCATAGGGAGCGCAGTTTGAAAAGCTTTTATATGCAGTTGTGTTTATCTGTAGTCTGTCTCAGTCTATCAAACTATCTGGTACAGTGCACACAAAAGGGAGAACAGTGAATAATGACTGAAGAGTAAGAGATTGATATAAAACACTGGAATGTCCTTGGTCATCCTCTGGGGAATGCTGTTTAGCACTTACGAATCATTATGAACCTTCATTTGTGTGCTGTCCAATGCCTTGGAACTTGTTTTAAAAGGGAAAAAATGAAATGAATAAATAATCATTCACTTCTTTTTTACCTCTGGCAGTTACTTAAAAAAATAATAATAAAATACGTAAGAGAGAAACCAGCCCTATCAGTTTCCTAGTGTGTGATTCAGCTTTGTAAAAAACTGTTCTATGTCTCTCCAAGGAAGCAGTTAGAGATGCTGTTTTTTGTGTCTAGCTTAATGTTGATGCCACATAAAGCTATCATAATTTGTTTCTTCTCTTTTTTTAAAGGTTAGTCTCCTTTTGAAACCATGTAGGTTTACCCAGCAATTAAGTCATCTCTGCTGCAAGCGTAGCCTTAGGAGATTATGAAAATTTGAAGTCTATCTAAATACTGCAGGGATTTTTTTTCTTTTCCTCTTTCTGTGGGAAAGGACAGCCACATGGTCAGTTTAGTTATTGCTACCCATTCTTCAACTGAGATCTGTTTATATCATTCCAATTACTTACCCACCCCCCACCCCCTTCCCATTTCCAGTGTTGCAATGAGGGCTTCCTAGGGCTCTTCTGAAACAATCGCTATTTCTGAGAGCATTCTTCAGGCAGAATGTTTAATGGAAGAGCCCTGTAGCTAGCCAGTTGGTTGGCAATTAAAAGTGTGGCCAATTCTTATGACTTGAATGCCTTTATTTTAATTTATTGGATCAGAAATCACAAACTCTACCAGATATCAACTGAAAAATCAGCCTTCTCTGAAGTTACTCGATTCCAAAGTAACAATTGGACATAGGCAAATGGGTCTTCTTTTCCAGCTAAATATGGCCTGCAGAAAACTTTCACTGAAACAGGTGGAAATACTGTCAATGTTTGCTTGAATTTGATATTTCTTGAGTTCATGATTGATTTCTTGACTGAATATTCAAATAAAATATAGCAATGTCATCAGGAAGTTTCAGCTCAAGAAAATAAAGAGTATGGGGATGAGGGACAGGACCTCTGACTGTATTTTAATTAACTGAAAAGTCTGTAAACTTAGTATTTTCTACCATGTAGCAAATAAACAAGTGCTAATTTGTACACTGATTAAAGATTAGACTTAACAAGTCTTTTGGTATGTGAAAATAATGAAAGCAGAATGCTCAGCATTCTTTAAATTATTTAATACACTAAAAGCAAACCCTGGGATATGTCTGACTTACTTAAGTCTTTTTGTTGTAGGAAGGTTTTTTTTTGTGTGTTTGGGTTTGTTGCCTTTTTTTTTTCTCTGCTTGCTTTTTTCTAATTGTTACTTTCTAGACAGGAAACTTGTGAGCTCAGTAGCTGTTCAGGTAGAGAAGGAATGTGATTTTACCATTAAAAATGGAGCATTTGAAAGCAGATGTCAGCATGAGAGAAAAATCACTTCCTCATACTTATTAAACATAGAAAATAAAATAATAAATGTATTTCTTTATGGTGAGGATTTTGTAAGTGCCTTAACAGAACTCAGTAAAATGAACAGCTGTTTTGCAATGATTACATTTGAGCTGACAACCTTTGACTGACTATTGCATAGAGTGCAGTATAAACAGTCCATAATGCTTTAAGTTGATGCCTTCCTATAAAATAAGACTACTTAGTAGATCTGCTTTTTCTGTGTGTTTATTTTAGTGATTGAATTAAGGTGCATTAATGCTGGTTTTGTGAGCTGGTGCAGGAATCCACTCCATTTTTGTCCTTCCTGTGTAAAAAAAAAGTTATTTGAGGATTTTCTGTAATTCCCACTTCTGACCCTGCTGTGTTTATCAGTTGATTACAGTGAAGTTAAAGGGTTGGGCAGAAAGCAAAACCTGGCCTGTGCAGACTGGGAGATGAAAGGAAGTATTTTACACTCAGATATTGAGGCCACCAAACACTGGCTGCATTAATGATTATCTTTTTTATGAATACTTCAGGGGAAACAGAGCTTCTATGGAAAATCAAGTATGCTAAAAATTAAGGAGAAAATAGAAGAAAGCTTAATGAATGATAAATAAACATGACTGAGACTACTGCACTCTCCTAGTACATTTTCTCCTGCGGGATCTCTAAGAACAGTTGAATAACGTAACTTTAAAATACCACTGGTATTGTTGGCCCTTGGGCCCTGCCTTGAAAATGACAATCCTTTATAAAAATACTATTCCTAGAATTAAATATGCTGCCAAGTTGTTCATCACTTCATAGTGTGGTGTAAGACTAGGAGACAAGAAAGGAAGTTTTAATAAATATTTTGATGCTGCTGTCCTGTAACCTCAATCGTCTTCATTTGTTTGCTTGCAGAATGTGTATGCTTTGCTAATGCACATCTTGTCTGTTACATAAAAGCAAATCAAACTTATCACAGTAAAACCGCTGTATGTGGTAAAAAGAATTTCTGAATTTGTAATCCCCTCTCTCGTTTTCCTGTACAACATTGGTTACTGTAAAAGCTGGATAGCTGGTGGAATAAAAAAAAAGAAAAAAGGCAGGCAACAATAAGAACAAGACTGTTGGTTTTGGAAGTGTGTTTTTGGAAACGTGAACTAAATTGAAGCAGAAATCCTAATGGGAAAAATGAAGAGAACCAAAAGACTTGAAAATACAGAACAGAGTGGAGTTCCTACCAAATGGTATCTTTAAGAAATTTATCAAGTGGATATAAAAGATGATAATAAATATTCAAAACAGGGAGTGGCAGACCCCCCCTGAGATAAGGAACAGTATGGCACCTTCTGCACACTGCAATTAGTCAGAATGACATTCTAATTAACCACTGTAAGGAAGACCACAGAATTATATTAAAAACATACTAATGCAGTTTCTGCGTGGTTGTTAAGGAGTTTGACTAATCAGGGTAACATCTTCTTAGGAGGTCATGAATTAGTGCAGAAATCTAAATGTGAGAAGGAGCAGGACAATGATCAGAGGGCATGCAGGTATGATATTGGATGAGCTGAGCTGTACTGTGTTCAATTACTGCCTCACATAGCTCAGAGAGTGTCCAGAACATGCCACAGAGCCTCACTCATCATGAATGTTGATTTTGACACTTCATCTTTTACTTGTTTTTAAAAAAAACAACCAACCACACAAAAAGAAATAAAGTGCCATATATTGAAGACGCTTTAATACCTATATAAAATGGATACTCAAGGAAGTTCCTGTACTGCAGTGGAAGAGGGGAAGAAAAGGAACCCAAGGTAAACTTCATTTTTATGCCAGTACTCTTAGCTTGTATTATTAGTCTTCACTTTAGTCAGAACGTTCCAGGTGAAATATCCTGATGTCTACCACCTGCTCCCCCATAAGAATATGGGAATTTCTGAAAGTCTCTTTTTCAGTAATAAGGAATCAAGAGGTTTCTTGAATAATAATGTGTCTCTTTAGTAATTTTTTTAATGAGCACACAGAGATGATAGTGTGTTTGATAGTGCAGTAGATTTCTGAGAGACTGTTGCTTTTCCACTGACTTCGATTATTTCTTAACAATGTGCTTGCACTTTTTTCCCTCTTTGTGTTTTATGGTGAGTTGATTGGTTGGTGGTTTTCTTAACCACCTGATACCACTAGCACGATCGAAATTGTAGCCCTTTATGGAAAAATCATCTCCTTTTTGGGTGCTGAAGGTTCTCACAACTAGCTCTGAAATTTCACTTAGCTGTACGACAGCCATTTTCATATGTTACACGTATTTTAAAAACAACCGTTAAAGTATGTAATTAAGTTATCATTGTGCAGTGGGCTTAAAATGGTACATTTGCACCATACTATACAGCATTTGTTTTCTTGTGAATATTCACAGGGCTGGTTTCTCTGTTTCTAGGGCGTTTGTGCCTTTCTTGTTTTCTTTTTCCGATTTTCAGAAATGTTTGGTATGAGATGTTGTGAATTTGGAAATTGATCACTGTCTTTCAGATAATTTTTGATAATTTATTTCTTCTTTTCTCTTTTAAGTTGCAATACCACAGAGATTGATTGTCCTTTATTAGAGCTTGCCATAAAATCTCAGCCTTTTTTAATACAGTCTGTGCTGAAAGAATTTTTGTTATCATTTGGGTAAAACCCTCAATGTTTTTAACATTCCCCCCCCCAAAAAAAAAGCTCAACAGGCAACCTTGATTTTTACATGCTCAAAGAGCATAATTTTTCAGACTTGTTAATATTAATTTTTGATGACCATAAAGAGTAAAGAGAGTTTGAAAAGTTGAGGAGGTTAGCTAAAAACTGAGCTTTTTGGGAAAGTGCTGGACCTAACTAGGATATCTTAAATAGCTTTTTCTTTCATGTTCGTTTGTCGTCTTGCTGGAAGATGAAGTTCTGAAAGTTTTAGATTCTCTCTGAATTACAAACAGAAAGAAAGTACCATATTTGATTACATGATAACAAAGGGAAGTAATAGGTAATTCCAAAAATAACTGTTGAAGCACTTACAAAACAGCCCTGGAAAACTAACTGTATGCACACGGAAATGCACGTCTTTCTTACAGTGTGCTCCCAAAGCACCTGGTGTCTTGCTCTTTGATAAAATTGCTAAAATTATGTTAAGTTCAAGCTATACCATGAATTCCAGTTGATTTGAAGGGAAGAGGAAGACTGCTTTAAGGGGAAGGGGAAAACCTTCCTTTTTTCAAGAGGGTGGGTTCTAAGTAGCTTCTTTTGCTATCAGGGTGTTACAATTTCTTTTTTGCAGCATTCAGTTGTACCTTTTTCCTTTATCTTGCTGAAAGAGAATTATTTCTGTGCTTGCTGTGCCATTTGTTAGGCAGACCTATTGGTCTCTCCTTCCCTTTTGTAGTCCAATACTTGTATTGAAGGATTTTCTAAGTGTTAAAAAGCTTTTTAATTTTCTCAGTTCTGGGGTGCGGTTTCTGATCACAGTCAGAGGGACTGTCAGAAGTACCAACAGCTATGTGTTAGAATAATCTTCTGAGCTCTGAGATTTAAAGCCCTGATTTTAAAGACTTTGAGCCCAGCCTTCCCACAGTCCAGAAAAATGCTTTAAATGTTGCACACTTATTTCTCAAAACTTGTTTTCTCTTTTTTTTTTTTTTTTTGGGGGGGGGGCGGGGTTTGAGGGAGGAAGGTTGGGAGGGGGGTTGTTCAGTGTGAAAACAGGAATAAAGTGTTAGAGTATTTTAAAAGTTTTGCTGGACAAGATTGTTTCCCCTCCACCCCATCCCCATGTGTCGTCGTCCCCCCCCCCGCCAGCTGTATTAAAAGGGTACTTTCATATCACTAAGACAAATACATCTGTTCATTTACCAAGCTATTCTGGGATCAATGCTATAAAAATTATCCATACCATTTGATTCTGCTTCATAGGTCATGTTAAATCAAGAGTTAAATTTCCTTGTGTGGATCATAACTTTCATCCGTTTTGTTTTCCCACTTCTTTGCCAAAGACCAGTGTTAGCTCAACTGTTTTCTGACTGTATGTCTGTTGTCTTTGTGGTTTTAATTCACAGTTCCCACTGAAAATGTTGCAACAATTGCAGACTGTGCGAGTGTGATTGAGGGTGTAAGTCGCAGTCGCAACGCCTTACTGAATGGAGACACAAAAAACTATGATTGGGATTCTGGGTACACGTGCCATCAGCTTGGGAGTGGAGCAATTGTAGTACAGTTGGCACAGCCCTACATGATTGGATCAATACGGTAAGTTGGTTTATTTTTTCTCTAAATTAAGGGCAGTAGTGAAACTTCTGCCAAGTCACTTTCTTCAGAATATGACATTTGGAAATAACAGTTATTAGGGAACTAGTTTAGTAGTTGTCATTTGACTTCTTTATTCAATGTTATGGGCCTGTTAAGAATTAAATGTGTGAATTATATGTCAAGATACAGCAGTGCAATTCCAGAAAATATTACATTCCAGAGGCATAATAATAGTAACAGTCAAATTGTAAGATTAAAGGCATATACTTATATTAAAATAGAAATTTAATTGCAGCCTCACTTGTGGTCAGAGTAGGCGCAGATCTGTTTATTGAAGAAGGCTATCATCTCGTGATCGGTTTACTTTTCACTATACGATTATCACCAGTTCTTACTTGAATATGGAGTATATAATAAAGGCACAGTAATCTGAACATTGCTTTACAGTGTTGGATTAATGAATGTGTTTAAATCTGGTTTGAGTTCATTGGGCTATTTCTCCAGTAAATGTCTATATGCATATGAAGAACAACATTTTGGATAATGTAGAAACCTTGGAAATAGATTAGAGAGCAGAATTGTTCAGACATGAAGACAAAAATGGCCTTGCCAACTTCAGATTATCTGACTGTAAATGTGGGGAGGTTGTTTCTTAAAATCTAAACATACAAAAAAACCTCATCTTAACTTCGTTCTTTGTAAATTTAGAGTATGTTGTCAGGGACTTAATTCGTATTCTCTGTGATGATGGGCTAAAAAAAGAAAGGTTTCTGAAGTTAGGGTACTGGGAAGCAAAGGTTGAAACCGCAGTGAGTACTGGCTCACAATGGGAGACCAGGTATGTGGGTATATGTTGCTAGGAATGAGCTTGGTGTCATCCACTTGTTAGAGTTGTCTCTTCAAACCGGCTGATAAGCAAGTGAGACTGGAAAGCTTTTATAACTGCCAGTTTCTGCCTTGTGTGTTTTGGTTTTGGCTTGTGGCATTGTTATGATGGTTGTAAAACTTTGAAGATAAAATTTCAAAATCAGACCTAACAAAAGTACTCTTTTGTCTGTATACTAGCTATAGTCATGTATGTAGTTATCTCATGTATAATGCAAGTCCAACATTGTTTTTGTTGTGGATAAGTATAGTTGGCACACTTGATGTTTGATGCTTTTGAGTTTGGTATCTTTAATGTTCAGTTAAGTACTGCATCTCAAGTAGAAAACCAGGAAGACATGTATTCAGTTTTCTTAAAAGAGATAATTGAAAATGCAATTACCTCATTTTCATGTCACTTTAAACTTAAATTTAAGTCAGCAGAAGTTTTTGGCCATGGGAAGGAGCAAGAGAAAAATATGTTAACTAAAATGCATAATTACTTAGGTCACAGTCTCTGTCTTCCTATCTTACCCTTTTCTGGTGTCTTTCAATTGGCAAGTCATTTTCTGGTCAGTGCAAAAATACTGACTTTCCTGTATCAAAAACGATGCTACTGTTTATTCAGAAGATTTTTATTAAGTCTCTTTATTAAATAGTGTGATAGGCGAACTAAAATTTAGTTACCAAGAAATTATAATTGTATAATTGGCAAGTGTGTAGGGCCACTTAAAAAAACAAACAAACAAACCCAAGTATTACATAATTTTAACCTAATAGGCATTTAGTGATGTGTGGTATTGCACTGTACTGATATACAGTCAGAATCTTATCTATCTTTGTGAGCTTTCCTGCATGTATAGTACAAACAAGATGAATAGCTTGCCATAAAAACCAGCAATACAAAACATTATCATCTAGGGTATCTTCTGACAGAGGAGACTACCTGCATTGCCTAGAGATGGAAATGCTAACGCTATGTTATCTTTTCCTTCTTGTGTTCTGCCTAGAAGAATTAGTGGTCTAAGTTGCAGCCACATCTGTTGCTATATCACAAGCAGCCAAGGGAAAGATGCCCCTTTGAGAGCTTAAGTGAGGTTTCACTGTGTGGCAGCTACAGCTTTGGCAACGATCTAGACCGTGTCCTGTACTGTGCAATGCTAAAAGTGGTGACTCTTTATTTAGCACCAGGAAATCTCTGACCGGAACAGAAATCAAATTATATATAAACATAGATTAGGGCCAAAAGTCTTCAATATTTTATCTTGATGAAAGAAGAATTTTTTGAACTGTCTTCCACAACTGATTGAAATGTATTCATTGACTGTTTTCCTGTGGTTTGCTTGCTTGAAAATTCCCTTGATCTCACCTACCCGCCTAATAGAAAAAAAATTCCAGGAGCAAGGCTGTACAGGCTGACTGAATGCCATGACTGCATAATGACATAAATTGCTCTATCCCCAGAAACTGAGTCATTTCACCTGTGGATTTGGATTGTAAATCTGTAATTAAGAATTAAAGTACATATCTTTTAAGTTCAGAGACATGAGTGTGCCATTGAATATATTTGTAGCAGACAGAGTAAATATGCAAGCCTTTGAAAAAAGGCTGGTAGCTGCTTTTGGTCTGTACAATTCAGAATACTGCTGGGGAAAGCCTCCAAGTCAGAATGTGTTACCATGGCAACTAAATTCCAAGTATGAAGAAAGCAGAACTCTTGGTACTCAAAGATGCATTAGAACTGCATAAAGAACTTACTGTTTCAGGAGTGTGTCTTCTGTATGCATGTTTTCTGCAGAAATCGTCCCATTGTCTTTGAATCTTAGAACCATTCAGGTGGGAAGGGATTTGAGGAATTCCATCCTGTTCCTCTGAGGAGGGTCAACTATGAAGAAAGACCATCCTACTTTATGCACTCGGGTCTTGAAAACCTCCAAGGAAGGAAATTTTTGAACTTCTCTGAGTGGCCTCTTCCAATGTTTAATTCTTCACAGTGTACTTTTGATTGTTTGGGGTTTTTTTTCTTTTTCATGGTGTTCATGTTTTCCTATGCCTCTTGTCCATCTGAAACATCCTGTTTCAATTTTTGACCGTTGTCTTGTTTTTCCCATTCTGCACCTCAGTAAAGAGCCTGGCTCAGTCTTTTTGATAACCTGCTTTTCAGGTACTGAAAAAAAGCTGTTAGGTTCCTCTCCAACCCCAACCCTTCCTAGGCTAAACAAGGCAATATTCTCAGCCTCTTGTACAGTGCATGTGCTCCAACCTCCTGACCATCTTGATTGTCCTCTGATGGACTTGCTCAGATATATCAATGTTGTATTTGGATCTAAAATGAGATGCAGTATACCAGCTGTGATCTAACAGGTGTCAAGTAGAGGAGAATAGTCTGTTTCCCTTATTCTGCTGGTTCATTTCCTGTTGCTGTACCTCCAGATGCTGCTAGCCTTCATTGCTGAGAAGGTAGACAGGCAACTAATAGCATCTTCTGCTCAGTATGACTCCCATGTCCTTTTCAGCTGAGCCAGTCAGACTGGATCATTTACTATTACAGTGGATTAGCCTGTATGAGGTATAGGAATTTGCTTTTGATCTTACTGGATTTGGTAATATTCTTGTTTTCCTGTGCCATTAGTCTTCCCAGAGGCTGGTAATCAGTCCCCCTGAATGGCAGCCACGCTCTGGAATTTATCAGTTGCATCCTGCAGTTTGCCATTGCTTGCAAGCTTTGTGAGGGCCCATTCCATCTCCTTGTTCAGGTCATTGGTAAAGATATTAAACAGGATAGGTCCCAGAATAGACTCTGGAGGAGCTCCTTTTCCATGCAGTACATGGATGATGTACTGTCGACCATTATCTGCTGAACTAAATAATCAGGCAAATTTTTACCTGTGTTGTAATCTGTGTATCTAAACTGTAAAATCCCCACTTGGATACAGGAATGCTATAGGAGGCCATGTAGAAATGTTGTTAATGTCTAATATTCTTCAGGTATTTGTATATGAATTTGGAGCACGGTCTTCAATACCAGAATTTACTCAGAAGTTCTGGAACAGATGTGATGATAGTCTGTGCTCAGTAGTATTTCCTAATAGAAAAGACCTGAAAAACATGGGGGTTGGACTAGATAACCTTTAAAGGTCTCTTCCAGCCCAAACTATTCTATGATTTTATTTTAAAATAGGTGTAACTGAATACTGTCTTTTAGACAATTTAGAAATTAAACCGTTTTTCTGTTTAAGAGGATTGTTTTATTAAGACTCCTACTTGGAACAGTTAACAGAGAAATCATTACTTTAGGTAGTTTTTCCACATTGTTGCCAGTCTGGACAGAAAATAACGTTGATATTTTCCCCCTCTGAAAAGGCCCTTATCAATGACAGAAAACCTATTATATTTAATTAGGAACAGAAAGAGTAGCAATTGGTATATTTAGCATACAAACATACTTTAACTTCTAAATGGCTAAAACTGTAATGTTGAAAAGGTTGCCATATCACTATAGCTGTCTAACTCACCCTGCATTTATTTGCAATAGAAGTGTAATACTATCTTTGATTGATATCTTCATTGGTTTGTTTTTTTTCCTATAAATATCAAAAAAAAAGGGGGGGGGGGAAACCCAACCAACCAACCCCAAACAAAAAAACATAGGACAACGTTGGTTATAATATATTTGGCAGAGGGAGACAGAATTTTTCCGTACCATAGTTGTTTTCATGTTAGAATAAATAGAAATATTTTGCATTTTATAAAAGTAGATTAACCACTTAGCCCATTTTATCTATTCGGAGACTATTGCTAATATGAATACATGATAGCCAACTGTTTTATTGTTCATATTCAGAGTAATTCTTAAATTACAAATGATACCAGTTAGCTTTAATGTGTTTTCTGTTTGCTTATACTGTCATCAATACATCTCTTTTGCTTTCTAATTTTCCATACCACTTCTGCTTATGAAGTTTTTCTTTGCTGCTCATTTTCTGTGCTTGACAGTGAAATCGTAGGTCAGAATAAAAGATCATATAAGCACATAGCAACTTTTGTCTCCTTTGTAGTATCTTGACGAGAGATTTGTTTCCTGCAAGAGAACTACTGAAACATAAATATCTGCAGAAAATGAAAGGGGATTATAGACAACCATAGGCAAAAATGCAAAGAATTGTCCAAAAAAAAAAAAAAAAGCCCCACCTCTTTTTGTACAGTTTGGGGTTTTGTTTCCTCATCTTTCCACAAGTGATGCTACTTATGTTTTAATTTCTGTCTTTTTGATTTCTGTAAGTATGTAAGTGGATTATGAACAGAGCATTACCAACTATTTATACTGTATGTGGTAACTACTGTCTTGTAGTATTCAAGAAGCAGGTATCATCTTGTCAGATGTTACTGTTTTGTATTCTGCTAACACCTTGAGTATGTGTAATTATATAGCAGTCTGAACTAAACAGTAACAATATTTTTATACAGAAATCTTTTTTAAAGAATAAAATGCAAGCAGAAACAGCATAAAATGCTTTTCTCAATACAGAACAATCAGTCGTAGCGCAACACATGACATTTAGCGAAATACTGTTAAAAAAGTACTATAGCTTCTTCTGAGGTAACAGTCAATATAATCAGTGTCCCACACCTGTAATATGAAATTCTATTTATACTTGAAAAGCTTTGATTTTATATAATGAGGTATTGTCAACATGTGATGCAAGTAACAGTACCATCTTAATTGATTACCATGCTCAGACTTTATGCAGAGAAGTGGCATGTGAGATTCAGACTGGACATGAGGAAGAAGTTCTTTACAATGAGGGTGGTAAAATACTGGCACAGGTTGCCCAGATAGGTGGTGGATGCACCATCCCTGGATATTTTCAAGACCAGGTTGGATGTGCTTCTGAGCAACCTGATCTAAGTAAATATGCCCCTGCTTATTGCAGGGGTGGTGGACTAATGACCTTTGAAGGTCCCTTCTAGCCCAAACTATTTGGTGAGAGAAATGTGTTTAACAAAGTTGCAAGGAATGAGCTGGAAAAAGCTTTGTTCTCCTTTTCCTTCTCAATCCTGAGGGCATGATTTACTAACAAGAGATAATTTAGCTTTTTATTCTAATATTGAAAGTCCTAGGAACATGGGCAGTTTTGCTATAGGCAGATGCATTTCCAGTGACTTTAGTTCAGACTTTTTAAGTGGAATATTCTCCTTCCTGTCATTTAGTATCCATCTTAGCAAAATATTGCTCTTTTACAAAAGCTTAGCCTGGTAGTTTGCATGGAATGTGTTTCAAACATTACTTTAGCTGGCATAAAAAGTGGCTTTTGTGCTCAGTGTGCACTGGTGAATATTCATGTAATCACCTGAAAGTTTTTCACTGCTTATCCAGGAAGGCATTTCATGCAGAGTAAATACCAAATAGGTTCTGTCACCAGCCTCCCTCCCCAATCTCTCCTAGGAAAGCTACTGCAGGGAGGTGAAGAAAGAATTTTTTGTTTTCTTTCACAAGCCCCCAAGAAACAAAATCTACGTTTAGCATTCATGTGAAGTCACTTTGGGAAAGATTCTGCCAACTTTAATTCGCTCATTGTTTGGTTCGTAATAATTCTAAGCCATATGTTTTTTTAAACCTATTTAACTTGGGCTGGGTTGTTTTGGGAGAGTGCAATTATTCACATTCTTAAAAGGAACACATCTGTCCTGTTAGCCTTTTGCTCTAAAACCAAGCCAGTTGTGTTTTAATTACAGTATCGTTAGTTGAAATTACAATCATCAGTGTGCCTCTGATATTCAAACTCTTGATCATAGCTTTGAAAACATGCATCAAGGAAACTAACACTGAGCCCCATGATGAAAAGAATCCTATCAAAAAATACATATTAAAATTACATTTTAATAGCCTTTTAAAAATTAAACAAATTCACGTATGTTTTTCATTTCCTTCTTTTTATCATTTAAAAGATTTTGTTTATATATAGTTGTTAAATTAATTTGGGATTTGTTGATTCCTAGTGCTTAACAAATTCACCATTTTAATCCATAAACTTTTTTGTAATTTTTTTTTAACAGAAAATACTACTTCGCTTAGACTCTTCAGTATTTAGAGATTTTCAAGCAATAGAAAAGCATAATAGGAAGGATCTGATGAAGCAAGGGGGAGATGAGTTGAAGTTGTGTGGTTTTGTTTTGTGGTATGGGGTTTTTTCCTTTTTAAGTCTTTCATGACACTACAGGCAATTATTGTTTACCTAGCTCTGAATTTTTTAATTTGGAAATAGACACTATTAGTATGTGCTAAAAGGTTTGTTTTATTTTAGCTTCTTAAAGCTATTTTTGATAGCGTATTGTTTTTGATAATGAGTTGGGTTCAGTTGAGAGCATCAAAGGAATTTATTTTAAATCTGCATGTCCAGTAGACTTGATTCCAAATGCTGGGATTTGAATGCATTTGAAACATTGAATGCATTCAAAGCATTTCCAAATGCTTTGAATGCTGGGATTACAAAGCCTAAAGAAAAAGAGCTGAACCAGATTGTTTTAATAAAAAGGTAATAGCATTGCTTTTTTAGGGCAAAGATGTAGACACATGTGTCCTTAATAACCAAATTCTGAAGGTGGTCAGGCTGCTGCTTGGGACAGCTTAAAATCCTTCTATCTGTAAAAGGAAGGATTCTGCATCCAACAACTGGCTGGGTCATTTTTCGCATACTGGGTTTTTTTAAACTTAGAAGTGAGCAGTCTGATTTTGCAGTTATATTCCTCCCAGAAGAGGTAGCAGATGAAAGCAAGAAAGACTTTCTCAACTAGAGGACAGGAATTTATAATATAGGACTTAGGTATTCTTCTGTAAGACAAAGAGAGACAGCTTGAAACTCTATGCCAGGGAAATGTCTGTAGTGTGTCTCAGCTATTTTCATTGACAATCAATGCATGCTTATCTGTTGCATTTTGAAAAATGCAGATCTGTGGTAGTTCTTCTTCACAGCTGGAGAAAGAGCCTAACTTAGCTGTATTACCTGGCTATTTCAATTCTGTGTACATGTGGCTGTAGTTACTCTCCTTTAGGTCATAGTTGCGGTTATAGCTGTTTTGGATAGCCATGCTTCAGTTATTACAGCAGGTTCATTTGCTCCTGTAACAAATAACCAGACTTAATCAGCAATCTTAGTAAGCGTTAGCTAACTTTCACCAACTGCTCAGGATCAAGCAGTTCGTAACAGACAATATGTTGCAGTGGAATATTTATTTTTCATTGTTGTATTGAGTAAGGGTTCAGACAATAAGAGTTTTAACAAAAGAAAAAATAAATCAGCAAACCTTAATTTTCCAGAACAGGCTTCATCTGGATAGTTCAGTTAAAATGTTACAATTCCAAAACTGGATAAGCTGGAGAGATAGCATTATTTCAGATAATGGTACATGCAGCATGCTGGTTTTGCCTCTAGTCACCTCTAATTTAAATAGAAAAGATTTTTCAGATTTTGGTTTTGATACCACATTTGTCATCGAGTTTGTATGAAAATGATAAGAACAGCGCTTAGGTTTTTCTAAACTGTACTCTGCTGATCAGTGGAGTTACAAGTGGTTTATGTAAAATGTAGGCAAATCCTTATCAATCAAAATATGGATGACATTTAACTGATTCTAAAAACCAAATAGCAGAAGTGTCTGACACTGTTAGGGCTAGTTCGTTGCCCCTGTAAAAACCCTCTTTTCATTTCTGGATGCGTTACTGGAAAAAAGGATGCTCCATACTGATTTGCAAACATGCTGGATAGAATTTTATGGCTTTCGCCAATGAAGGCATTCTGTGCTGGATATCGTTCTTAAGTACACATATCTCAGTCCCACCCACTAAGGGGAAGAGGCAGGGTTCTTGGTTGTGCTTTAATTCTTATCCTTAGAAAGAAAATTAAACAGAGGAATAATGTTGGGGTTTCAAACATCTCTTACATGGTGATTCTCTCTTACAAGGGAGGTAATCACCATGTAAAGAGAAAAGGAGCAGAAGATACATTTGCCAGAGTACTTTTTAAGAATTACACACTTAAATCTCATCCCTGATGCTTTAGATCTTTCTCTTTGAGAGACAAGTATGAAAATTGAACACTGTTCAATACGTCAGTTAGTGCCTTTCGCGAAGAGCTGCATGTTTGTTAGAATGAGTCTGGAAGGAGTCCTTGAGGCCTTGTATTTTCTTCCTTTTTCTTCTGTCTTTTTAGCAGTTTGGTCAACAGTTCATTGCCTTTTTCCTCATATTATGATGAATGAGGACTGGGAATTCCAATTTTCCTACTTGCCATTTTTAATATTTCTGTTATATTTAAAAAAGAAAAGAGAATACAGTTAAAAAGACATTGTAATCCTTTTAGTCACCCAAAACTTTTTTCTTTCCCTGCTTAAGTTGCCCTTTCCAAACAGATCTTTGATTCATGTTTAAAGCAGGCAATGCCACATGCCAAATAAATTAGTTTGTTATTGTCTTTCAAGTAAATGAAAAGTAATTGGATTAATGTAATAGTTTAATGTTGGTAAGGTAGTTATTATAAAGCTGAAGTCTGTTATTTGCCTTAGGTTAGTAAGAATAGAGACACTCAGGTTTGAGATGACAGAAACAGTAAAGACCTTGCTGAGTGTTAAGAGGCATATTCAAAAAAAGAAACAGCTAAGTTTTAAGAGGAGGAAATAAATAACTGGATAATTTAAGCAGCTTTCTTTAATGCTTATTTTACTTATCACTCAACTTCTTCATATTTAGGTTGCTTCTTTGGGACTGTGATGATCGGAGCTACAGCTACTACATTGAGGTTTCAACAAATCAGCAGCAATGGACTATGGTGGCCGATCGCACAAAAATTTCCTGCAAGTAAGTTTAATTTTTTTTCCACTTAAGTGCACAAAGTCAGAACTGAAAACTGTTATTGGGTTTGGGTTTTGGGGGTTTTTATTTATCCTTTTGTTCACTACTTACATAGATGACATTTTGATTGTGAAAATGTTGATCATTAGATGACCTGTAGGTCATGAACTTTAGACCCTTGAATACAACTTTAAGAGGTAACAGCTTTTAGTGTGGTTGAATATCGAGACTTTCAGATCAGAATCATAGAATCATAGAATAGTTAGGGTTGGAAAGGACCTTAAGATCATCAAGTTCCAAACCCCCTGCCATGGGCAGGGACACTTTGCTCTAAACCATATTACTCAAGGCCTCATCCAACCTGGCCTTGAACACTGCCGGGGATGGAGCATTCACAACCTCCCTGGGCAACCTATTCCAGTGCCTCACCACCCTAACAGGAAAGAATTCCCTCCTTATATCCAATCTAAACTTCCCCTGTTTAAGTTTTAACCCCTTACCCCTTGTCCTACCACTAAAGTCCCTAATGAAGAGTCCATCCCCAGCATCCCTATATGCCCCCTTCAGATACTGGAAGGCTGCTATGAGGTCTCCACGCAGCCTTCTCTTCTCCAGGCTGAACAGCCCCAACTTTCTCAGCCGATCTTCATATGGGAGGTGCTCCAGTCCCCTGATTATTCTCGTGGCCCTCCTCTGGACTTGTTCCAACAGTTCCATGTCCTTTTTATGTTGAGGACACCAGAGCTGCACACAGTACTCCAGATGAGGTCTCACAAGAGCAGAATAAAGGGGCAGGATCACCTCCTTCGACCTGCTGGTCTTGCTCCTTTTGATGCAGCCCAGGATACGGTTGGCTTTTTGGGCTGCAAGCGCACACTGCTGGCTCATGTTCATTTTCTCATCAACCAACGCCCCCAAGTCCTTCTCCGCAGTGCTGCTCTGAATCTCTTCTCTGCCCAACCTGTAGTTGTGCCTGGGATTGCTCTGACCCAGGTGTAGGACCTTGCACTTGTTATGGTTGAACTTCATGAGGCTGGCATCAGCCCAACTCACAAACGTGTCAAGGTCCCTCTGGATGGCATCCCTTCCCTCCAGCTTATCAACTGAACCACACTTGGTGGTCATCGGCAAACTTGCTGAGGGTGCACTCAATCCCACTGTCCATGTCAGCGACAAAGACGTTAAACAAGATCGGTCCCAACACCAATCCCTGAGGGACACCACTCGTTACTGGTCTCCAGCTTGACATTGAGCCATTGACCACAACTCTTTGTGTGTGGCCATCCAGCCAGTTCTTTATCCACCGAGTGGTCCATTCATCAAATTGATGTCTCTCCAATTTAGAGACAAGAATGTTGTGTGGGACCGTGTCAAACGCTTTACACAAATCCAGGTAGATGACATCGACGGCTTAATCAAGTTCTGAAGATCCACATCAGTACTGGACCTTCAAACAATCGGTTTGATTGTTCATTCTCAGAAGTAGTCTGCCTCCCTTATCCTTGGGTTTGTGATCACTGGAAGTTAAACCATGTTTCTTGCAAGTTCACGTGTTATTGTGACCTTGGTGTCAAATTCCCCTGCCTTGAGAAACCTGGTAGGAGAGGTAATAGATTATGCTTGGTAAAAGATTTTCTTGTTCAAATGCCTTTCTCCCTTATCAAAGCACATAAATGTATTGTAGGATATTTGAAAGGGTAGGGAGAGTGAGGGTAGGGACCACATCAACAGATTGAATGGTTACCTAAGCTTGACCTTGTCTCTGTTCAAAAGCAGAGTACCTGACTTGCATGCACTGACCACTCTACTTTTGAACAGAACCCTTCCTTAGAAAAAATGCTTCTTAAAAAGCAATTAAAGTGAAAAATCGTTTCATTTTCATTTGTATACTTAAGTCAGAAGAAATAATGAGTGAATACTCTTCACATGTATTCTCTCTATTGTCTTTTCTGCAATTATTTGGTGTGCTGATAAAACCTGTTCTTCTAGTATGGAAGAATAATTCAGTGTTGATAGTCATTTTAAACCATTTGGTAGTTTAAGTTACAAGTAGAGAATTACCCAGTTACTTAAATCCCATTCTCATGGGACTGAAAAGATAGTCTGCAAATTTATACATCACGTATCCCTAAGACAGGTATGCTCTTCAGTCAGTGAATGTTGATAGGTTATGGTCTTCTGGCTGATCCCCAGGGAAGCTTAGACTTGTAAAAATCTTATTTCCCTCTTTTTCCCTGAGTCAGTTTTCCATAACGTATGCTTTCCTTCCTGGGACAAAACTGAGGTCATCAGCTGATTTGGGGACATCCCCACCCATCCTGTATTTGTGCTAACCGAAAAGAAAAAAAAAAAGTAGATTTCACAGATTCAGAGACATAGCTCAGTTTGTCACGTAGAGCAAGAGATTCGCTCCTGTCCTGCGACGCTGCAGGTACTCATTTTTCTAAAGTTGATATCCCATCTCTTAAGAAATAATACAGTTCAAAGAAGCGTTACAATGCCATCTAGACAAGTTGGTGAAGGAGAACTTGACATGTCCTTTCACTGTCTATAAAGGGCAGAGTATTGATGAGCAGAAAACTGGGGTTCTGCCTGCAGGTCTGGAGAAAGAGTAAAGGAGATTTAATCATTCTCAGAGGCATCTCAGCGTAGTAGATACATTTCATCTCTTTGTCTGCCTACAGCAGTGGGAGCACTGAAAGGCTGAAGCCACAAAAGAGAGAGACTCAGAATCAGAATCTTTTTGCACGTTCTCTTTGTACATTTTGATACTAATAGCCTGTAGCAGTCTAAGGGAGCACTTGCTTAAGTATGTACAGTGCAGGTGGAATTGCTGATTGACTGCCCAGTTCAAATATCTACTCACCATGTTCAAACCACAGTTTTTTAAAGAAAAACCTTGGAAAAGTATAGCTGCACCTCTGAAATGAAGATAGATACCATCTCACAGTATACTTCAGTATTTTGGTTCAAAACAGGTGCTCTGGAAGTTCTCTAAGCTGCGGCTTCAAGAACTATTTTCATATGTATTAGAGAATTGTATTTTGCCTAATTTCTGGCTCTGACAGACATGCATCCAGCTGGCAGAAAGCCAGTCTTTCATCTTGAAGTCTACATATTTACAGTGGCCCAGCACTGTCTGTAACTGCCTGCTCTAAACAAATATAGAGACCTGGTCCTGAAGCTTACAATTACAAAAGCTCCAGAACAGTTCAACTTAACAAGGACTAGAAAAAATCAAAGAAAAAGAAGCAATTTGTAAAAACCTTACTCCTCTTTGGAAGTTTTCCATCCTCTGCAGTTATATTTAAGTACTGTCTCATCTGTAACTGAGATAAGTAAAAAAGTTTGTGCCCTACCCCCTTATCTACCCTCCCAGTTTTCAGATGATTTCTTTGCATTCAACAGCAATTTTTTATGTTCAATTTAAATTTCTTGCCCTTTATGATCATTAAATTGGATGGGGTATTTTTTTCAGTTAGACCACCACAGAAAAGAAAATGTTTTAAACATGTTTAATTTTCTTTTCAAGTAGGATTTGCAGAAGTGCTGAAATTACTTCAGCCGAAAAATTTCTTGAATTGTAATGGCAGGTAGATAACTCTAAATACTAAATAAATATGCATCATATTAAAAATATATGTACAATAATATATGTATATTTAAATGTTAATTATGATAATTAGATATATATAAAATACTCTATAACTTCCAAATGTTACAAAGGTTAGGACTGGTCTGTAAAGTAACAGAGGATCATAATTGCATGCCATCAGAGCTGGACCACTTTTATTTTATGAAAAATACAGAAATGTTGTACTGTGACCTACAAAGCCATGCTGTTAGCGCTCAAAACCAGTTGAATGTAGAATGGAAGAGACATCATCATTCAGTGACTCATGCAGTGAGTGAAGACCCTCATTTAAAATTGTTGAGTAAGGTTTTGATATGGTGATGGAGACAACTTAAGAGAAGAAAATTGAACCAGTCACTGGTAGGAATATGTGAAGAGCTGACTTTTTTTATTTAGTTTCTATAATTTTGTAAAATACCCAGCTCAAAACAAATTGAAAATGTAGGGGTTTGCCACGAAAACAAGCAAGTTATTTTTATTTTGTGTAATTGTAACATCAACAACAAGCAGAGGAGTTGAAGAGCTGGATTTTAACCAAAATTAAAACATGCTGTAGTAAAGCACAGGTGGTGTAGTTTGTCTAATTTGCTGTCATAGTATAATGATAAAGATACTACTGCTGAATGCTAGGTTCCTGTCTCTGTCCTTACTCTTATCATGATTGCAATGGTATTTTATGCAAACAGCTTCAACAGAGAGAAATCTGCCAATGAATGCCTTTTAGTCAAATCATTCAGGCACTCCCCAAAGAAAAGCAAGAATCAAACTCATGCACTGTGTCTGTATTTGACTCACAATCAGGTGAGTCAAACAGTTAAAGATTTCCTGTGTTCATCAATTTGCCTTAGCCAGACTACACCATAATGGGGTGGAAGCTACACTAGCCTTTGTTATCTGTGTGTTAATGAATATTGCAGCCCTCTCTCACCTGGAAGAAACAAACCAAATACTTTCCTAATGCGGTCAAAGTTTGCAACTGTTTTTTCTCTTGGCCAAATTCTGATTTTTTTGATGTATACTTGGACATTGCAGCTTTTTATACAGAGGTATAAAAATAGTCTTAGGCTCGTGTGTCTTTGTTTAAAGAAAATGAGAAGAACACATGTCCTTGCATGGGTCTACTATTGCTGGTTTCATTGCAAGTACCTCTCAGCAGCAGTCAGTTAAGAATCATTATACTTGCATTTGTGTCGGGTTAAAATATTAATTCCTTCCAAAATGTATAGTTCAAATTATGTCTGTTTCTCTTATGAATTTTCAAGATGTGAGTGCAGTCTTAAGTGGTTGATAAGGTGTTGAAATACCAGTTTTACCTTTTCTGGTATTAGTTCTGTGTTTAATATGCTGCAGCAGACTCCAGACAAATAAATCA